TGTCAAGGGCTAATGGCAATGGCAGATACGTTACTAATTAGTTTCAAGGAAAATCATTTTCTTTTTTTGTTTGCCAAACAACCCTGTGTATGTGTCCGCCCCCGCAACCCCCAAGCCCCGGAATAAAGTTCAGGCTCAGGATTTTTTTTGCTTTAACCCCTGAGTACTGTTCAAGTCTCTAAAGCTCACCAAGGCTGCATTTATTTGATAAATAAGTATGGTAACTGCTGTAAAATTGTGAAATATTATTGGAATTTAAAATAACTGTTTTCTCTTTGAATATATCGTAAAATGTAATTTATTCCTGTGATCAAAGCTGAATTTTCAGCATCATTACTCCAGTCTTCAGTGTCACATGATCTTCAGAAATCATTCTAATATGCTGATCTGCTGCACAAGAAATATTTCTGATTATTATCAATGTTGAAAACAGCTTCATATTTTTGTGAAAACTGAGATACATTTTATTTCGGGATTCTTTGATAAATAGAATGTTCAAAAGAACAACATTTATTTAAAATAGAAACGTAACATTATAAATGTATAAATTTACTGTCACTTTTGATCATTTCAATCTGTCCTTGCTGAATAATAGGATGAATTTCTTTCCACAGCCAAAATGTGGCATTTCCAAAAACTTCAGATGAGACGTTAAACCGAGGTCCTGGCTCTCTGTGGTCATTAAAAATCCCATGGCACTCATCGTAAAGAGTAGGGGTGTAACCCCGGTGTCCTTGCCAAATTCCCTCCACTGGCCCTTGTCAATCATTGCCTCCTAATAATCCCCATCCACTTGATTGGCTCTATCTCTCTCTCTCCTCTCCACCTGTAGCTGGTGTGTGGTGAGCGCACTGGCGCCGTTGTCCTATGGCTGCTGTCGCATCATCCAGGTGGATGCTGCACACTGGTGGTGGTTGAGGAGAGATCCCCCCATATGATTGTAAAGCGCTTTGGGTGTACAGCGATACACAATAAAGTGCTATATAAATGCATCATTCATTCAAAGAAAAAAAAAATCTTACTCCAAACTTTTGAACGGTAGTGTATAACTTGCTATTCAATATTATTTACATACTACTATAGTTTGAATTAGCTTTTATTTTTATACATTCAGTTTTCATTTTAATTTTAGTTTAATTTTTAGTAATTGTTTGTTAATGTTATAACTTTTGTTTATTTTAAATATTACTATTTAGGTTTCATTTAATTTCAGTTTTGGTTTTACATTTTTTCCAGTTAGTAATTTTAGTGCTTCAAATTCAACTAGATGAAAATATACTACTATTTTTATAAATATATAAAATAGAAACAACACTAACTGAAAATCTAATCTGATCTAATATTTATATTCTATTATTTCACCTTTTAGTTAACAATAATAACCCTTGTCAGGTTAAGGTAAGGTTTGCGCATCTTCACAACACAAAACTGAGTTTTTTTGGAGTTTTAGTTTTATGTAGGTTGAATGATAGTTGATTGTGTGCGTGTTTCATATGACACCTGTCTGGCTGTGAGCAGAGACTCGTCGATCTGTTTCTTCAGCTCTCCGTTATCATCCAGCTCTCCTTTCTCCAGCGCATCCAGCCATCGCTCCTCCTCATCCATCGGGCCGCCCAGCAGCGAGTCCGTGTCCAAGTCCGGCACAGGAGATGGGTCCAGGTTACTGTCTTCATCTGGTATTACCAACAAAAACACACTCATGCACATTACACTGGCTGCGAGTCACTCAAATATATGTGTTTTTGCTATATTCGAACGGTTCAGTCACCCAGCCAGGCTCGGTACTGCTCGATAGGAACTCCCTCTGACGGCACGTCATCATCAGAGTCATTGTCATCATCATCCTCATCATCATCATCACTCTCTACGTTCAGAGGCGACACTGAGCGCAGAGAGTCCGGGATCACTGTGAATGTGGGCACACTGAAACAAGAACAACATTCAGTAAACACCTTTGTTAAAGGTGACTCACATTACACTCGTTACAGAGACAACTTTACACTTATCAGTGTAAAACTTATTACACTATACACTTACACCTTTTCCAAAGTCAAATTCAAGCACTTTCAAGGTGCATTTTCAAGATTTTCCAGCACTTTACAACTGTGGTAAATTACATGTTTACATAATACTTGAGTTCTTCAATTTAAATCAGATGTTCGTTCAAGGTATCTTGGAGAGGTGAGGTGTCCAAGTCGCAACATCTAGCTACTGGGGTGCCTCAGGGCTCAGTTCTTGGACCACTTCTCTTCTCTGTCTACATGGCATCACTAGGTTCTGTCATTCAGAAACATGGCTTTTCATATCACTGCTATGCTGATGACACTCAACTCTACCTCTACTTTACAACTGTGGTAAATTACATGTTTACATAATCCTTGAGTTCTTCAATTTAAATCAGATGTTATTGTGCTATGAACAACCACCTGTCTGGATTGCATATAACATTGCCTAATATAAATAGCCAACATACAGTAAATAAATCAGCTCATGCTGGGTTTGAACATCCAAATGTTTGGTCACTAGCCCAGATCTTTATGCCTTACCAATAATTCACCCAAACATACAATATATTTGTTTTGTTTTTTGGGGAGAACTATTGATTTAATGCACAAATAAACCAATATAAAGAGCATATGCATTCATTTTTACATTATTGTCTACAGTATAAGAGATTTGTTCTGGTTATCACTCCATTATCTCAGTAAGAAAATGACACGAGTTTTGTTATAGTGTAAATTTATAGAAATCAAATGATGTAAAAAAAAAACTTTTTTTAAAAAGACAAAAAGCTCTTGCTCAGAAATCTCAGCCTCATTTATTGCTGAAAAGCAGGTAAACTGCCTGACCTCTTGGTGCCCAGAGTTTGTCCTCCTAGTTTGATCTTGAGCTTGAGCTGAGGAGGTTTCAGCATCAGCATCCCGGAGTCTGACTCCAGTGCCTCGGAGGAGAAACTGTGGCCATCGTCGCGATGGTGCTTTTTCTTGTGCTTCTTGTGCTTTTTGTGTTTCTTCTTGTGCACGCTGTAATCATCCCCGCTTGCTACAGAACAAACACCAACAACCAAACATAGTCAGTGCTGGGAAGGTTACTTTGGAAATGTAATAGGTTACAGATTATTTAAAATGTAATAAGTAGTGTAACTATTTTAATTACTTTACTCAAGTAATGTAACTGATTACATTTTAATACTTTTTGTACTTTTAAATCATTTTCAATCATTTAAAGCAGACAGGGTTAACCTTACAGTAGCACTCAACACTGATTATGGTCAAGACTTTCAAAATCCTTCTTCACTTGAATTAAGATCATAATAATTTAATTTAAAACACAGCCACCACAAAATCAGACTTTAGCACTCGACTCTATTTACTTTGAGATCATTCTGAGGTTAAATACAGATATAAAATCATAACAAGAAATAGTTTGATAGCCATGACGCTGGTTTTGTAATCAAATCTTTGCATAGCTATGACTAGAAACACTGGCATCTAACAGCTAATATAGCATATACATAAACCCAAATAGGAAATAAATCAATTAAATGATTAAAAGGAAATAAGTCAATTAAATGTGTGTGTGTGTGTGTGTGTGTGTGTGTGTAAAATTATTCAGATGTAACCCCCTTTTGTAATCGTTAACATTTTCATAAGTTACTGTAATTTAATTACGTAATTCCGTTACATGTAACTAGTTACTCCCCAACACTGCACATAGTTAATTAGAAGAAGAAAAAAACGGAATAAATTACCTCAAAGTCACGGTTAACAATAAGGTAATTACCGTACCGTGCATGTTAAGAAATGCGTTTTATTACTCAAAAAGACACGTGGGTGTAGAAAAACTCGATTCTAACACTCTCTCCTCTATAAATGAGACTTACCAGCGAGAAATCTGTGGTGAATCATGTCTTTGCGTTTCCCCATGGACAAGTAAATGAGTCTGGTCTTAATTAATCACCACAATAATCATGTTGAATACATTTTCTCCGACTGCAGAGCAGATCAGACGAACGCAAACGTGCTAATTCCTGTGCAAACCGCCCGTTAACTGAATAAAAGCGTTCTGTTAATAAACTAAACCTGTGAAAGAATAATACCTTCGGTATTAAAACGAAATATCAACTATGACACGCTAGTAATATAGCCAAGCCTCCCGTAAATATCTCTATTTTTATTCCTTAGCTTTCTAGCATTGTTTACAAAATGTGCTTCCTCGCGGTAAAGCATTGTGGGTAATGTAGTTCGCGTCACATGTCACAACGGAGCTGGTAGTTTTCATGAATAATTTTTCTTTTACTTACTTTTTCTTTCTGAAATACTGTTTATATATTGTTATATCATGTTGAATACATTTTCTCCGACTGCAGAGCAGATCAGACGAACGCAAACGTGCTAATTCCTGTGCAAACCGCCCGTTAACTGAATAAAAGCGTTCTGTTAATAAACTAAACCTGTGAAAGAATAATACCTTCGGTATTAAAACGAAATATCAACTATGACACGCTAGTAATATAGCCAAGCCTCCCGTAAATATCTCTATTTTTATTCCTTAGCTTTCTAGCATTGTTTACAAAATGTGCTTCCTCGCGGTAAAGCATTGTGGGTAATGTAGTTCGCGTCACATGTCACAACGGAGCTGTTAGTTTTCATGAATAATTTTTCTTTTACTTACTTTTTCTTTCTGAAATACTATTTATATATTGTTATATTGATATTCAATCAAATAAAAAAATAATTTCTCAGCGCAGCTCAGGCTTGGCCAATCACAATCGTTTGTGATTACCAGCTGAGCATCAAGCGTTGGTTTTCATTTGCATATGTAGTAGGCATCTGCAATTAATAAACGTGAGCGAATATGCTTTCAGCGAATATAAATCTCCAGAAAGAACGAATAGTGAATATAGTTCGATTTAGAATTCGCTTTCTGCACCGGAAAAAAAAACTTTACGCTTCGCTCAAGAAAGAAAACTACACGGCCCAGAAAGCATTGCGGGAGGACTTGCTAGCAAAGAAAGCATTAAATCGTCCACAGATAGAAATTAAGCTGGCTTTAAGTAAAGCTGAATTCAAGAGAGTGAGTAAGAAATGGCCAAAGTTATGGAATAATGGGTCTAAAGGAAGACATCTTTTCCAGATTCAGGAGTGTGTTGGGAATGAGAGGAAAAGATATGTAAATAGGAAGATGCAATCTTATCAAGACTAAGAGTTGGACATACAGCATTAAACTATAGTCTTTATAAAATAGGCAAGCATGAATCGGGGAAGTGTGACAAATGTGGAGCGTTATAAACAGTGAAACATATTCTTTTTGAGTGCTCTGCATATGAAAGGGAGAGATTTCAATTGATTCAAGAATTAGGGTGGCTGGGAGTTGATAATATTTCTTTAAAAGTATTGTTAGGAGATGGGTCGAGGCAATCAAGAGTGCAAGAATAAGTGTTTAAATACCTGAAAAACAGGAACAATAGATGGAATCTATTTTTTTTTCTTTTCTGTGTCCACAGATAGAAATTAAGCTGGCTTTAAGTAAAGCTGAATTCAAGAGAGTGAGTAAGAAATGGCCAAAGTTATGGAATAATGGGTCTAAAGGAAGACATCTTTTCCAGATTCAGGAGTGTGTTGGGAATGAGAGGAAAAGATATGTAAATAGGAAGATGCAATCTTATCAAGACTAAGAGTTGGACATACAGCATTAAACTATAGTCTTTATAAAATAGGCAAGCATGAATCGGGGAAGTGTGACAAATGTGGAGCGTTATAAACAGTGAAACATATTCTTTTTGAGTGCTCTGCATATGAAAGGGAGAGATTTCAATTGATTCAAGAATTAGGGTGGCTGGGAGTTGATAATATTTCTTTAAAAGTATTGTTAGGAGATGGGTCGAGGCAATCAAGAGTGCAAGAAGAAGTGTTTAAATACCTGAAAAACAGGAACAATAGATGGAATCTATTTTTTTTTTCTTTTCTGTGTTTCTTTCTTCCAGATGTATGCACACTACACACTCCAGATCAGTAGGTGGCGCTAATGCACCTTTTTCACCGCCATAGAACACCAGAAGAAGAAGTACAGGTAATGTTACAGGTAAATGTGCTTTTGTGGGGTAATAGAAACCTCTGAACATGTAATATTAAAACAACATTCAGTCCTGCGCGAGGAGCATGGCAGTAAATCATGGTTTCCATGCACGTGTGTTTCAGTCTGAAAATGAAGCTGAAGTCAAGATAACGAGATTTGAACCCAGAAGTGAATTAAAAAACCTGTTGCACACCCTTTTTTTACTTGCATAATCAAAAACTTGAGCACTTTAGCGTTCTGTTGCACAACTAATCAATTTTATTTGCTTTGTTTAAAAACGTGCTACATTTTAAATGTAATTTGTTTTTGTCTATAGGACAACCTATTTAATGTCATATTTAGAAAATAATGAAATGTAACTACCTCTTAGTCAGCTGCTATGTAAAAAGCTCATGTTTAGAAGTTGCATAATCAATAAAGGGCTCAGTATTGAAGTTTGCACAAAAACAAATCCATATTCTCTGTATGCTTCCTGTTGCACTGTTAATCACTTTGCTTTGTCTGTTTATGAACGTGCAACATTCCCATTTCTCTCTTTTTTTTTGTTTTGTTTTGTTTTATTTCTGGAACCAGTTCCTGTTCAACAATTATCCTTTAATGGGCTTTTTACTCATTTCTAAGTGATTGCATTGCTTTAGTTTCTTCTATAATAATATTATTCGATATCCTATATCTGGATAATATCATTAAAGGATTAAAGGAATTAGGATTGCTTCCAAATTATGAATGATCTCATTGATATGAATTATCACTGACATTCCTTCTCTGGTTCATTTTCTGTTTATTTATTTGTGAATACTTACAGGGATCTTTTAATGGGCTTTTTACACTTGTAGCGATTACAGAGATAGTTTAGTCATAGCTTCTTCTATTATCATCATAAATACCATGTAAAGACCCATTAGGATTGCTTCTAAATTATGATAGAAACTCCGTTTACATTCATTTGGTGGAATCTTATAACAAACATTTTAATACAGGTGCACAAAAATTAAAATGACTATTTACTATTTATGAATATGTGCACCATAACATTTTTCTCTCTTTTTTTGGAGTTTCTATCATAATTTGGAAGCGATTTCTATCTAATGAGGATACGTTAATCGGCTTTTTACTTGTGAAATTTCTAAGCGATTATATGATTATATCCAGTAAATCTGGATAATAGCATTAAACTCCCATTACGATTGATTCCAATGAAACTCCATCGTCATTCCTTCTCTACAAGTTTATTGCAAACAATGTAGTACAGATGCACAGAAGTTAAAATCACCATTTCATGTCTAATTTGCAAATTGTCCCCTCAGAAGCATGAAGCACGGGTATCGCACGATATACACTGGCGTTTGGTGCTTCTTGTTTGGCTTTAGTGTTGTTCAATTTCAGTAGTCGGCACCAATAAAAATTCTACGGTTCTCAGTAGCAGTTTTGGTACTGAACAAAAGGCGCTCTCTTTATAATAAATGAAGCTGAAGTCACTGATATTGATATACTGATACCTGTTCTAGTAATCTGTCTGTGCTCCACTATGAATCTCTTATGCACATCGTGTTTAGACTTCTTGGTTATCCACCTTTTTCCTACGCCTCGTGACACTTTGCGCAGATTATAGGAGCGACTTCCGTTTACACCGTAAACAATCAGCAAAAGGTTCGCTCTATGAACGCAATAATAAGCATTTTCGAAACCTGCATACAATGAGTTGACATTATTTTACTCACCCTTCAACCATCGATCATTAAAAGGAAATTTAAAATTGTAAAAGATTAACAAGTTACTTTCAACATACCACAAATAACTTAAAGATCCTCCTTCTATCCGCAGAAATTTTACGGACGTGTTAAATATCATTATAGTCTATAATATATGTCTATATTTCGTAACAAGTACATTTTACAGCATCCGTGTGAAAACAAACCTGGAAAGAGACGTGAGGATTTGGGGAGAAAAATGAAAGATTCTTAGTGCATTCCAGGGAATTATTCATGGTTTATATCGTAAATTAAATCGTGAGAGCAGACCACAGATGAACAGCACGTTGTCTTTTTTCATTCACTTACTGCGGAATACAAAGGAAACATGAAGGAAAATAATGCAGCGGGCTGAAAAGAGCTATTCAATAGATATTGTTGTTATATAGCACGTCACATTAATTTACCAAACATAACGTTATTCTCCTGACTTCTGAAAATAGAAAATGAATGAAAATTTACAGCCCATTCAGTCAAAATGACGGACAAGGATTATTTGTAGTTTATGATTATTATTCTTATATTATTATTTGTATTCTTATGATTTGAAATGATTTGTTGCACTCTTTCTGAATGGAACTTCCCCAAAACGGAGGTGCCTCCCATAATTTAAAACCATGGGGTTTTAAATTATCTAAGGGTGCTGTAGCACCCCCCGCCGCAGGGCCGGGTCTGAGATTTTCCTTGTGCCCCTCGATCATCCCCAAGATACTTCATTTTGTGAGTTTTGTGATTAATTGTTTATTAAACTGACCAGAAAATAGCGGTTGTAATTTTCTTAGGCGCCTCGCGGCACGTGTCCCTACATCTCCCCCTCACACTCAAGCTGGTCCTTTGCTTGTTTATGCTGGTCCTTTGCTGGTTTATGCTGGTTCTAAGCTGGTCATGTGCTGGTCTTAAGCTGGTCGGACCAGTTTAGTACCAGCACATGCCAGCTAAACTTAAACCAGCAAGGGACCAGCATAAACCAGCAAAGAACCATCTTAAACCAGCTCAAATCAGCATCCCAGCTTCAAAACATACCTAACCAGCATATGCTGGTTTTTTCAACAGGGCTGACAGAATTTGATGTGAAATGTTCACGCGATATTATCGTAATTTTACATTCCGACTTGTAAAAACTATTCACGTCCTCGTCCTTTTTATGAGCCGTTTTCCGAAGCTTTCTCACTTAAGCACATCTCTTTAATTGCACTCTAGTCTCTGGACAAAGGCGCTCAAACCACTGTAGCCTAATGTAATCTATTAACTACGCACATCATAACGTTTTAGGCAAGTAGGCTAGCATATTATGACAAAATATTTTAATAAGACTGAATTTGTATTTAACCTGATCACGTTTAATAAAAATAAATTTTAAGTTTCATTAGTGCCGCATGTCCATGATTATTCAAACAACGAACAAATTATACAGCGAGCAAAGAACATTTACATTATCAAAGAATATCACTGAATTCAGTCTAGCGTAAGCACTCTAAAAAAAGCTATAAGTTATAATCAGTGATGTTGTCTGCAGTGTATGATGAATTCATCTCTTATTTACATCACATGTACAGTGCTGTGAAAAGGTTTTTGCCCCCTTCCTGTTTTTTGTTATTTTTTGCATATTTGTCACACTTAAAAGATTCAGATTATCAAACAAATTTTAATATTACACAAAGATAATGCAAGTAAATACAAAATGCAGTTTTTAAATGATGATTTCATTTATTAAGGGAAAAAAGCTGTCCAAACCTACGTGGCCCTACGTGAAAAATTAATTGCCCCCTCCTGTTAAATCATGAAAGAACTGCAATTAACCACATTATTTTAGAAAGCG